ATTTCATGTACACTGTTGTTTGCTGTTGTTCACTTTTCCTGTTCGCTGTTGAGTGCGTGTGTATGAGTACGTGTATTTATTTCGATTCGTTTGGTTGCTTTTTTATTTTTTAATTTAATTAATCGTTTGGCTGGTTGCATCTTGTTCTTCTTCTTCTTCCTCTTCTTCCTCTTTTCTTTTAAACATTGTACATTTAAATGTATAAAATATACAAGGAGCAAAGTTCACAGGTACATTTTATACAATTACACGATTTTCTTATATAATCTTGTGTATGTATAATTAAACGTTTCTTCTCATTCGCTATCTAATTTATTTATATTTGATGTGTGCATCGATTGTTTGGCTCGTATGTTCATTTATTTCTCTTGCTTGTTTATGTCTGTTCTTTTGTATCGCATAATGACATTATAATTATGTACCTTATTTATTACTTATTTTATATATATATATATAGATCCTTCCTCGTTTCGTACTTCAATGTACAATATGTAACGTTTTATTTAATTTAATTTAATTAATTAATTTAATTTTTTTTTTTTTGTTTGCTAAGGCATTCGTTATGGCAAGTATATTTTAAAGGTGCTGATGTCTAAACGCGCGTGAATACTTAGTTTGTTTTTTTACCATTTTCATACAGTTTATAAAAGTATATTGGCCAGTTACGTAACTTCTAATTAGCCGGCTACGTGTCGAATCACTTAAAAGATTAATTCGCTCGTTAGAAAAAGAACTAATCTGCATCATTGTGTTTCTTTTTTTTTTTTTATTTCATTTGTTGCTGTTGTTTTTTTTCTGTTTGGGATTGTGTTGCTTTCACACTATATCACTCTCATTCTATTTGTGTCTTTCGCGTTAAATTCGATTGGAATTTTAAAGTCCATTATCATTCATCGATTTGATTTCCTATATGTTGCATGCATCGTTATCAGGTGATTTTATTAACTGTTCGGTGAAATGTGTGAATTGGAAACAAGAATAGAAAACTGTCTGAAGAAGTACACATGAATTTTCTTTTCAATCTTTTCAACACGTTTGCTATTAGACCGCTATTTTTTAAAACAAGTTGACTATTATTGGTAACCCATGTTATAAATTTAATAACATAAATTTTTAATTAAAAGTAGAAAATTGGAAACACTGGTAATTCAAAATAGAAAATTAAGAAGTTGATTGAAATTATCGAAGTGCTAGTCAACTTGTTAATAAAATACAGAATAAAATTTCATAATTCAGTTTCTAATATCTGGACCCCAGAGTGTATTAAGTCCCCTTTTTTGAAAAAATGACATTTTATTTTTCTTGTATCAAATTTTTCACTCTTCCTGATGGTAAAAATTATTTTGTTCTAAATCGTTCAGTTTTTAATATAATAGTTCAAAAATAATTGCTTCGAGCCAATCTAAAGGGCACTTAATAATAGTTTACAAAAAATTTCAGAACCAAGCAATTTGAAGTCCAGTGTTTGGTTAAAATAATTTTGGATGTAATGCCTGCTTCAAAAGATATATGATATTAAGTCACACAAGAGGAAATAAAAAATTGGTCAAGACATGTTGATATTAAGTCACTGAAATAAGTCCATCGTCAAAGCCAGATAGTATCGAGTCCAATTTATTTTTTATTTCAAAAACCAACAATGTCCGGTACACAATTTCACTTTTCAACAATAAAACGATACATTCTTTATCTGCGTTAAAAAAATTACGTACGTGTCTCTAATGGTTTCAAAATTATAAGGCTTTTGCACCTTTGATTTCCTCTCCTCTGAAGTTTAAAAAGTGTGACCTAATCTGGAGTCCAGATATGAATTACCCCTTTCAAATTTTAATTACCATTAAATAAATAATGTGTTACATATAGCAAACGTGTTTTACCTCTTCCTTTCACTTGCAGAACTTTCATTATCATCCCTCTATACGTATGTGTTATGTGTAAGTGTGTATACCAAGCTGCAGAATGATTTCGATAAAACCCCTCATCTGTCCGATTTACACACGTTTCCAGCAATCTATACTTGTTTTAGAGCTGGCCTGAACAAACTGCATCATCGTCATTTGTACGCGCACGCATATATTAAACTGTACACCTGCGATCAACTCAGGCTTCTCCGGAAAAAATTGTGATGCCTTGGAATCTCGCCTTTCCCCTTAGGCGTCCGCGAGGAGAATGACGATGGAGGGGAGAGAATCCTATATGTATAGGTCTGTGACCCCCCACCACTTGCGTACGAACGTTTACGCGGGAGAATTTGAATTGATATTCATATTTCTCAGTAATATACTTAATTTTGTAATATTTAATAAATCAAAATTATATTATTTTGTTTCTAAATTACTATTAATATTAATATCGTTAAAATTAAGGTTTTGAGAACTTCTGCTTCCTTTATATCACTATTTTCTCGGAGAAACTTGATCTGATCGCGAGTGTACAAGTGTTAACACGAGTTAGGCGAGCACACGTGTAGCAGAATTATCGCAACAGAATCTTCTAGCCAGTTGCTTGACTAGATCACTTTGCGAGCAATGGTGTAGCGGTTAATCAAGATTAGGTAGATATTAGATTGTTGCATACGAAATGGTAGATTTATTTATAATGCGTGGAAAACTAATATTTCTTGGGGCCTTGATTTATTTCAAATTTTCTATCATATTTTACTCAAATATTCGTTAGCTATATTCTCTCTAAATTTTTTAATAAATTAATATCAGAATTTATCATAGAATGATTCGTAAGAAAGCAACACATGATTTTCGTTCTGATCGATTGTTCGTTGCAATTCACAAACAACCATTTTGTATTAAGAATATCAACAAAAGATTTATGTAGACATTTTCAGCAAGCATTAAGCTGTTAATTATTATAAGATAATTGTTATTTCGCAATACTTTTATGTCATGAAATTATAATTAATTTTGAAGTTTCCAAATCAGCCATTTGATATGCAACAACCCAAGAGTTTAGGAAACTCTCTAGTCGCTGTTCATTTCTGATTGTTACCCTAATTTTTATTCTGTAATATTGCCAGAGATTCATGCAATGGATCAATAATCAACAAGCTCAGACGAGAATAAATTGCAAAGCAATTAGGTAATAAATCATCATGAAAGTGCGACTGGAGAGTCAATATAATAATAGAATTTCAGTGTGAACATTTCGGGAGATACGATATGAGTCATTAGTCTTATTGACGAACTAAAATCTTTGTCTTTAATGTACTACACCATTGGGCCTTCATCGGACGACGGATTTACAATGTAACGAAAGTACATGCTCAAATGATCGTTAACATCGCTTTTCGTATTTCACTTTCTCTTAAACGAGATACTGTATTCTACCCGGAACTATAGAGGAATTTCTCGATCGATTTTTAATCCTTTCGCGCACTCGATCGTCCCCAGATAATTTCACCTTTCTATCAATATATCGTGTCAGAAGAAGGTAGCTAAAAGAAAAAAAGTAACAGTTTCGAGGAGAAAGGAATTGACTCGTTGGTCGAGCGCGAAAAGTTAAACACCGATACGAAACTCGTTATTCGTCATTTTCTTTCCTCTCATTTTCAATCTCTCATTCCATATTTAATTTCGCGATTACAATGATTATAGTGCGCCTCGAGCAAGCACCTATGAGCTGTATAATTTTTTTCTTGTTTTGCGTTTGTTTAAATCCGCCACTACGCATTTTGCTGTGTTTCTTTCTTTTCGGCTGCGCGCTTTCACTCCCCCATCCGTATACTTTAATCCCGGTGTACAATTAACCGGCGTTTCACTGTCACGAAACGCTTTTGTAAGAAACTTAGCGAACGAACGAACGATGTCTAATAGAAAAAACGTCAAGAGATTCGTACCAGCGCTTTTGCAAATAGCATACATACAGATTCATACGATAAGCGCGACGCGACCCACGATGCACGCTTATGGTGTGAATATTGTAGAAAACTCTTTTCGTAGAAAATTGACGCTAGGGTAATGTTACTTCCTCTCAAATCATTTTCTCTCGCTCGAGTATTTTATTTATCTCATCACTCACACTCTCACGCACACTCATCACATTCTTCTTTTTTATTTTTTTATTTATTTTTTCTTTTTTTATTTCTTTCTTTACAAGGCGCTACTACGCAGGTTTCTCGCGCGACGAGGATGACCCTCTACATGGTGTCACACTACTGGATCTCCTCAGAGGCTAACGATTAAATCAAACTAAGCGATCGTTTCGTAACTGAACATTCGGTAATCTTACTTGAACGTCTGTCAAGTCGATTCCAATCTTTACACACGGTTTTGCTCGGATGACGCATATGGTGCGTCGTCCATTGAATTACAAGAGGTGACGCATACGGTGCGTAATCCATTGAATTACAAGGAATGACGCATACGGTGTGTCATGTATTGAATTACAAGGAATGGCGCATACGGTGTGTCATGTATTGAATTACAAGGAATGACGCATACGGTGCGTCGCCCATTGCATTACAAGAGATGACGCATATGGTGCGTCGTCTATTGAATTACAAGGAATGACGCATATAGTGCGTCATCTATTGAATTACAAGGAATGACGCATACGGTGCGTCGCCCATTGCATTACAAGAGATGACGCATATGGTGCGTCGTGTATTGCATTACAAGAGATGACGCATACGGTGCGTCGCCTATTGAATTACAGGGGATGACGCATATGGTGCGTCATCTTTTGAATTACAAGGAATGATGCATACGGTGCGTCGCCCATTGAATTACAAGGAATGACGCATATAGTGCGTCATCTATTGAATTACAAGGAATGACGCATACGATGCGTCGCCTATTGAATTACAAAGAATGACGCATACGGTGCGTCGCCTATTGAATTACAAGGGACGACGCACAAGGTGCGTCCTCGGCATTGGATCGCGAAAAAGGGGAAGAACGTTGTGAGATTCAGTCGCTAAGCTAACAGGCTCATCCTCTACGTAGTCTACAAGGCAATCGACGTGTCGGTATCAGCGGTGACGATCATATTTTTTTTTTTTTTTTTTTTTTTCTTTAATATCTTCGAGTTCGTTGTTTCGATCACGTGCGTGGCTTACGAACGATAGAACAGGTAGAAAAATCAAATTCGATCACGCTCGGGGATCGTGCGAGCGATTGGATCTATCGTCGACTTAGGTTCTAGAAGAGACACCGATTTTTTTTTTTTTGTTAAATTTTTGTGTTTTTTTTTTTTTGTACAACGCCAGTCTTGCGTCACCCTGTAGAGATCACCGAGAAACGCTTTGTCAGTGTTTTACTGTCTAACGAAGCTTAGCATTCTACTTGGCATTGGACAGTCGCATGTTTCATTATCGATCGTTTTTTATTTTTTATTTTATTTTATTTTCTTTTTTCTTTTTTTCGCTTAATTACGCATTCGATCCTTGAAACCGGAAACGGAAGTGTTTTTAGTTAGGTGTGCGGTGCTCTACACTGTGTCATCGCTACTTTTGTTCAGCTCGACTACGCTGCACTCGCGACTTGACGGATCTCGATAGGAATTCTTAGGTGGGAATCATCGAGGTGAATTGCGAGACTTTTTTGGCTTTCGTCTGGGCGGGGAAGTGTCTTCGAGAAACTGTGGTACATTGTCTGGTGATGGACCTTTGGTATTTGAAAATCTTCATAGACTTATGAGAAATAATATTCGAATGTTTGAAATGGACATTTGTTTATTTAAAGAATTAAATTTAAGCATTCATTTCATAGCCAATGTGCCTATGTTTAGATTATTTTTATCTAATCAAGGGATTAGTTAGAATTTGGATTATTTATAAATCCTTCAGAAATCAAGGTATAGTTGAAATTTGAAACAGGACAGAAATGCAAATTACTGCGAAATATGCAAGATTTTTGAAATCTTGAAACATTCAAATCTTTGAATAGCATGGAAAGTGATAGAAATGTACAATGATGCTGAAGTACTTCCTGTGCGAGTAAAAAGTTGTAATAATTGCTTTCTTGAGACAGTAGAACTTCTATATCAAAGATTTGAACGTTTCAACATTTCAAAAAGCAAAACAGATAGCAAAAGTTAATAATAATTTACACTGAATCTAAAATCTGGTTTCCCTGGGCAAAATCTTAATTTTCACAATATTAATATTAAAAGCAATTTTAATATAAAATTTAACGTACTATCCATCATCAGACGTGTCCAGACGGTGCTTTCAGAAAGACGGGAAAATTATTTAACCGTACAGCGAAAAATCTCGCCGGGAACGAATTCTTATAGTCGCTCGAAACGAAACGTCTGATATGTAAGATCCGAGATACACATTTTATGGCGCTACAGTCTTTTTTTGTGTATGTAATAGAGTAACGTATGCAGTTAATTACCCATATATAATGATTAACCTTTTTCCTAAAAGCGTAAGAAATATAATATAATGCATTTCTCCACCCTCGGATGGCGGACCATGGAGAGAGCCACAATTGTAATTTAATTCTGTACTTCTAAATTAAAACTATCCCTTTGAAAATTATTTTTCTAATACATAAAACTCTTTTATTTATAAATTATACATTTTTAAGTTAACATCTCCTTTTTGGTCATGATTGACCCAGATTTTACTGTTCAAGGGCTAAATAATAAAATATAATTAATTATCTTTCTTAGCCTGAATAAAATTATACCATTATATTATATTTCCTACTTTTTTAGAAAAAGAGTCAATAATTGTACAGAGGTCAATAACTGTATACATTAATCTATATTTGATTTGAAATATTCTGCCTCTAGATTCTAGAGTCTAGAACGTCGTTCAATATCGTGTTTCGTCCATCTGTAACCGCGAACGATCATCTCGCAATTCATCGTTATTTAGTTTAGAAAACTGAACGATCTGTGAAGAGTAGATTCTCGTTATATTGCCGTCGACGGGGCTGTTGAATGGAGAATTTGTCAAGCTCCCAGGTTCTCATTTTAAGAAGAAGAAAAAATAGAAATGATTTCTTCATTTTCATAGACTATGATGGCGGAAAGGTAACACTATACTTTAAATCACTCACGTGGCAATATAACGAGAGTCTCCTGTATTACTATCCCCCCCGTTATTTTAATTGAACATCGTCACCATCATCCCCGCTATTACAGGCAAAAATTTACATACCATTTCCGATTTCCGGACCCCCTGATCGTGTTCACCTCTTTTATTTGTTTTTTTTTTTTCATTTTATTTATTTCCTTAATTACATCTCACTCTGTTTGCATTAATAGCAATATAACGTGCATCTCGAACGTTCGCACGATAATTTTTTTGGGGTTTTCTCACTTTTTTCTTTTAAACACGATTTTTCTTCCCTGTCGCTGTGCTCGTCCATAATAATAATCCTAATGTTTTATTTTTATTCCTTTTTCTTTTTTCTCTCTTCCCTCTTCATATCCATCGTCAATGCTACACCCTCTTTTTGCAGCCACTATTACTCTGCACTATTTATTTCTTTTTTTCTCATTTTTCTTTTTAACACGTTAGTAGCATCTCTCGTGAACATTATAGCAGACAGTGATTACATAGTTGTCTATCGTTTTAGCAGTGATAGCAAAGAGTACACAACATCCTTCTCTCTTTCTCTCGTTTCTTCCTAATTAATATCGCCACTAATCTTTCCCCACCCTCGTTCATATTCTAGTAACAATAATTCCAATTCCCATTTTTCAATCTCCTCGTCATCCCTCGTTCTTTTCCTTTTTTTTTTTTTCATTTTTTAATTCTTCATTTGTATAATTAGTTACGCGTACGCCTTAGGCCCGAACCTCGCTGGCAGATTAGTCCTAGACCGATCTTAATTTATTTTATTTTATTTTATCTCTTTATATCTCTTGTGTGTATAGATTAATCTATAAAAACGTCGGTGTCATGCGGTCTACGAGTATTCTACCACTTTGTAGGATGCTTATCACCCACTGTACGCGAATCATCCTTCTTCATCTTCTATTACAATATAATTCATTATTATAATTAGTATTATCGTATATGTATATTTATATGTATATATATATATAATATATTCAGGATGACGTGAGGGGTTGTAAAATAATGACAGAAAACTATCTCTCTCTTACATGAAAAATAGGTACTTCTGTTTTCCTCGCACGTGTGTAGGTGTATATGTTTACACCTGCATATGGTTACACAGGTGTACATGTATATGTATGAAACGCATGTATAATATTCCTAGATTCTTCTTAATTATTTATATATGTATATATGTACATGTATGCATATAATCACATATGCATGAAATGTGTTACAACGTTCAACTAGGAAACGAATGGCACGTTTCTTTCACCTGCACTGTGTTCTTCTTTGTGTGTGTATGTGTGTGTGTGTGTGTCGTCAGTGAATTGTGTGTGTACGCGTGTACGTCGAAGTATTTAACATAAACGTGTCAAAGTAACGAGCAACTTTGTTGGTATCATAAATTAGACTCCTATAAAATTTAATTGATTAAAGAAGAGTATTATCGTTAACAGATTACGATCTAGGCTCGATCGAGTAGCGTCTGTAACATGGGCTTTCGAATTTTATTTATTTATTTATTGCTTAGAATTCTTTATAATTTGTTCAGGGTATTTAAACATGGTAACATAATTACTATTATGGTATTTTTATTGTAATATCGAGTGAAGAAGACTTAACAGTTTCCTTTTCAAATTATTCACCCCAAGTTTAAAAGAAACTTAATTTATTTATTGCTATATTATTGTAAGAGTTCTACTATTAAAACTGATCGTGAGCAATGGAATTTCAGATATAACAATGTTACAGAATAATCTATTTCTAGAATTTTGAAGTAAACGCTTGACACTTTGATAATTGAAATAGAATATAAATGTAATATTTATATTGGAGAATTGTAAAAATGTAAATTCAAAAGCCCTTGATCCAGAAAGTCTTTCCTCAGAACCGAGTATCTCTCCTCTCAGTATTAATATAATAATATCAGATAAATTCAACAGTCGCGTTAAACTTTCAAAGGATAACACCATTAAAACGTATCAACAGCTACAGAGAAATAATACAGTAAGTGGAACAAATGTAAAGTCGTTCAACCTGGATTATCATTAATCTATCTACGGGTGAAAATATACGTCGGATTGGAATTGATTTAAAATCAGCATTTTCATCAGGTAAAGTCGGGTAAGAATGTCCGTAAGTATCGGTGTTATTTTGTCGGTGTTTATAACCCTTCCTCGCATACAGTTAAAACGTTATTATTTAATAATATCTTGCAACACGGTATTGACCACTATGCATACTTTTTATATGTATATATACGTATATATAATATGTGTTGTCTCTTCTCATTTACGTCTTACTTCCTTTAATCTGCCTAGCTTTTATGCGGTAGTGGATGTAGTAATCATTGCAATGATAATTGGTAACAATAATAATAATTTATTACATAATATTTATAGCTTCTTCTTTACTCTTCTTCAGTTTATTTCTCTTCTTCTTTCATTATAGTACATCGCGTCTATTAGCCTGAATAAAAAGATACAGCTCTTCGCGTTTTCACTTAATATCTCTCTCTTCATTGACGTGTTTAATTAATTTTTATTCTTCTTTCCTTTCTCTGCTTCTTAATTACGACAGCCCAAAGATCACTCAACAAGTTAACACGGTCTTTGGGCGGTTCGATTAGACTTCTTTTTTATAATTATTAATTTTCCATTTGTAGAATGACCTAAACCAACCCCCTCGTTTCTGTACCCTCTCCCCGGAAAATTTTGTCTTCTCTTTCAACGTTGAATCTTCTTCCTTCATTTTTTTTTTTTTTTAATTTCAGGACGGTCTTCCTAAATTCCGATTATGAAATTTTTGTCGAGCTCGAAATTATATTTATATTTTTCATCCTCTTTATCTTCTTTCATTTCCAGCTTTCAAATTATTCCACGTTTCTTCGATTTTTATCCTTCCTCTTCCTGGTCTCGTTTGTTCACTCGAAGCTAAAGTTAAAACACGTTAACAAACTTATAACCGGAGTATCTCTCGAGTATGTTTCTCTTCTATAACGTTAGTTGTCCTTAGAAAAAGAAAAACAGAACCCTAGTCGCTTGTACGGATCGTAACATTTCCCCCTTCCCTACCCCATAATTTTCATTATCGTCTCCCTAAAAGTGCGAAACGGCTTTGCAAAATCACAGAGAATTACGCATCGCTTTTTTAAATAACACTGTCGTTTAGGACTTCTACCTAGTCCAAGATTGGCTACGTATGCTCTATAAATTTCTAGGCCTGCTCTTCGTCGTCGTTGAGGTCTTCATCCTCTCTCGCTTTCAGCTTCTGTCGAACGCTTCGTAAAAAGATGAAGATCCTCGCGGGCAGGAAACGGCTCCCTGTTCTCCAATCGATGACACAGTCTTTCTTCATTATCCTCTTCGAATCCATCTCACAGTTTAGTCTATTTATAGCAAACTGGTTTAATCAGCGATCAAACACAAACCTGGAACACACGATCCTGAGTCCTTCGTCCTCGTTTCATTCTGCTTTCGTTTCGTTTATTGCTGTCGACGTGTTGAGAAAATAAGCGTCTCGAAAGAAACGGAAATTAATTAATCGAGTTCCCAGCCTGTGCCACCGTTGGAGAACTTTGGATCTCTTCTTGGTCCGCGCGATTTTACGCATAGATCCTGGACAGAACAAGTGCCGTCGGGTTAATATAAGAAGGCGCTAATAAACCGATCGCTAGAAGACTACTGGCATGGCGTATATCTATGTATAAACTGCTTCTAGTATAGCGTCCAGGATCTAGGCTTAAAACGGCCGCCGTTGGTGATCCTAGGTCGACAGGTTCGCGTACTGCCGTCCGTTGGAGCCGTTAGTATCTCTCTGTATGCTAGTATAACGAGTGTCGTCATTGATACGAGTCCTTGTGGAAAGTGTCGCTTTTGTGGAAGATCCTTCGTCCTTCTCTCGACAACTCCTGGCTCGCGAAATTGTTCTCAGACTTTGGTCTGGGTAGCAGGCAAGCTGGTAGGCTCCTCAGTTCCATGCTGTGCACCTGCAATCACATTTATTTATTCATTATTTTCATTTCCAATGAAACTGCTTCTTAAATTTGGAATAGTAGTGCCCTATCATGAAACAAATGAGATTTTGTGGAAAAATGTTTCATAATTAGAAGATTTCAAAAATATAGTTTCTTATTTTGCATATATCTTGCATCAGGGCCGACCCTGAGCCTAGGCAGACTGGGTGGCCGCCTAGGGTCCCCTAAGATCCAGGGCCCCTTATGTTTACTTGAATATTAATCAATGTAAATGCAAATTTAAATTAGTTATACAAGCTCTAATATTAATTTTATAAATTTTATTTGAGGTACTTTTTTTTATGTCGTATGTGAAGGGGCCCTTTTTCGGAGCTCGCCTCGGATCCCCGAAATCTCAGGGCCGGCCCTGATATTTAATAATATAACATTTAGAATATTCAAAGCCTAGGGTAAAGATAGGAGTAATTGAAATTGATAACTTTTGTTAATTAGATAATTTTGAAGGCTGTCTATTTTGAACTTTGGAAGTTCAAAGCTTTCAGATGGACAAATTTTTATAATAATTAGTAAAATTCATTTGTAAAGAATGTGGTTTGTGGAAAGTATTTGATGGCAATAGTGGGTTGGATTTCTTTAATTATTTGATTTTTGACTGATTTTTATGTGCCCAAATCTAAGTCGCGTCAGAATTATTCTATACTCATTAATTTATATTAATATTCCGGAGAGATACTTACCGATTCCACGCTAGCACTAGCATGCGCAGCTTGCTCAGCGAGCGCATTCACCACGGCATTTATCGTTTTCGACTCGCTGCCGAGATCCTCTTCGCGATGCGCCACCAGGTTCGGATTCTTCCCGATTTTATTCAACCTACAGGGGAGAGCACAATTAAGCGTAGGGAATGTTGCACGGAACACAACCAACGATTATTCACATCGATCGACTTACAAACCGTTTAGCAGTACAGGTATTCCCTAAGTAAATTCATTATCCCGCCGTTCACTTGCAACAGACTTGTTATTATTCGTTCTAATACCACTTGCACCGCTAAAGGTTTCACAATATGAGGCAAACGACTGGGTAAAGGAAAGTCGGTAGCTTTGAAATGCGATTCGCAGAATCACATCCTAAATTTTTCTAATTAATTTTTTAATTTGTATAAAAGTAATTATTCAATTTATCTTAAACTAAAATTCTATTTGCAGATATGAATCACATCCTAAATTTTTCTAATTAATTTTTTAATTTGTATAAAAATAATTATTTAATTTATCTTAAACTAAAATTCTATTTGCAGATATTAAACTCGAAAAAAAAAATTGATTTGTCTTTTTCAAACGAATGTGACTCTGCTCGGATGCTGCAGAAACCGAGAATTCAACTGATTTATAAAGTATGTTAAGCAAACTGATCAAATACAACATTACTATGTACGTGAATGTGTCAAGAGTGTAGAAATATTGTCCTGGTGTTTATAGAAATTCTTTCCACTTTCCTCTATCGTTTATAAAATAAAAAACTTGGAGCTTCGTTCGACGCGTCGCATCTTCAGACAACGCGTGTCGCGAACACATTCATTCGTCGAAACCCTGTCAATGAAACGGTTGGCAGGTTTTCGACAGCAAGTTAGTGCGCTTTTTGTCTTAAATATAACTTTCTCCCCAATGAATTTTTCTTCTCATTTTTATTCCAACGAATAAGACAGAGAGTAATCTTAAAATCGTGTACGAGCCATAAAAGTCTTCTCTTTGTGTGTAATGTAAGAGTGTTATGTAAAACCAAGCACATCGAGTCCAAATCAGCATAGAATACAATACAGAGTAAATTAACACGTTCGTTACCAGGGTCTGAGAAGAAAATCTTGCACCACAGCCCAGGGTGTCTCTTGTTAAAATAGGTTCTTAATTAACGTGGGTCATTTTAGGACTAAAAAATATAATTATTTCTAGACCAAGAATATTCTACATCTATTTTATTGTTTTTAACTCAAGAATATTGTTCATTTTCAAATTTATTGCAATATGGTGCTATAAATTGATGAAGAACACACACTGTATATGTGCGAGGGTGGGCTCGGATACAAGAATCGGGAAGCCGCATATATGCGACAGTGGTAGCGAACGTGTTAATATCGAAGAGATACAATGTTAAAGCGACAATGAAAATATGTTTGGACAACAACAAGAATGGCCGAAAAGTCGAGAAGCCTCGTCGGACAGTACACAATGTTTCAACAAAATCAACATGGAAGTGGGAGTGATGATTGACATCTATTAGCACACCAACTCGATAGAACAAACCTAACCAAAGCTTATACCTCTCGGCGGCAACGCTTTCCATCGTTCTGCGCATTAGCGGATACTGGTCCAACACGGCGTTGAAGTGATCCACCGAGAGGCTGAAGAGATTGCAGTAGGTCTCGGCGCGAACGGACGCCACCCTCCTGGCGTTCGTCAACAGGCAAATCTCGCCGAAATAAGAGCCGTCTGATAGAGAGGTCGCGACCTCACCGTTCGCCATCACGATATCGACGATGCCTTCTTGTATAAAGTACATTTTCGAACCGATCGTGCCTTCCTTGATGATGATGTCACCTGAAAAATCATAATCACTCAGCTGTCTTAGTTGTTTCAATATTTTTTTAGATATTAGAGGATTCATTTTTAAAGAGACAGTGTAAAATTTGATATATGAAAGTAATATGAAGGGTAGAATTAAATTAGAATTGTGAATTTCTTTGTGGTCCACTGTCTTAGGACTCTCTTCATGGTCCGCCAACAAATAGAGACTGATTTGGAAATATATTATAGAAAGTCTGACTTGATTTCATGACATAAAAGTATTGTAAAATATTACCTATGATATATCAAATTAAAGCTTAAAGATTGACGAAAATAACTACATAAAGTTTTCATGAATATCTTTTATAGAAAATGAGTGATCGCTAGTTATAACAAATATATCAGAGTGAAACTGACATATTATTATATATGACATAAAATGATTACCAAATACCACCTCTGATATATCAAATTAAAGCTAAAAGAATAACAAAAATAATGAAATAAAGCTTCCATAAATATCTTCTATAGAAAATGAATGATCATTAATTATAACGAATGATACATCAGAATGAAACTTGCATATTATTCAAGAATGATTTCATGACATAAAAGTATTGCAAAATATCACCTATGACATATCAAATTAAAGCTAAAAGAATAACGAAAATAACTACATCAAGCTTTCATGAATATCTTCTATAGAAACTGAGTGATCATTAATTATAACAAATGATACATCAGAGTGAAACTTGCATATTATTCAAGAATGATTTTATGACATAAAAGTATTGCAAAATAGCATGTATGTTATATAAATTTGAAGCTTAAAGTTTCAAGATGAATAATAAATACCTGGCTGGAAGACTTCGTATCTCAGTTTAGTAACAACGTCAGAGACAAAGTTCGAATCAGCATTGGCGAAGAAGGGTACCGAGGCGACTAACGATCTGCAGTTGTAGTTGATCACGTCCTGTAATGAAATTAGAATGGTTAGAAGGATAGTTCACGATCCATGGTCACTCGTTTCAACGTACCTCTCTTAGTTTCTCCGAGAGCTCTCCAAGAATCAATTCTTCGTCGAAGAATTTACCCTGGTAACGGTGCTCGAAGTACTCCGTGATCCTCTGTCTCATTTCTCGCGGTAACTTCCGGTAGGCCATGTATTCCTCCACTTGTTTCACCTAATTTAAACAAAAATGATTTATTTCTATCCTGGCTGACTTTCGGTATTTTTGATTAATGCTAAAGAAAGATCCAACTTCAACAAAAAAAGAGAAAAAAGAAAAACAAATGGAAAATAAATTTTATCCTTCAGCAAACAACTTCTCCGTTCTCAGAGCCCCATTTCGCAAATTAGCCTAAATGTTGAATGTACACAGAGGGGGCTTCGTTCCGCGTTTCAATCCCAAAGGGGTTAAAGAGAGAATTTAACAAGGCAGAGAAAGGTAAACAAGAGAGAATAAGGCCTCTTGGAGAGTCGGTTGTTCGCTAATTACCTTCTCGCGGTATTGTCTTCTTGAGGAATCGAGAGATTGAATGAGATTCGTGGCGTGTCCAAGGAAAAGTGCATAACAGGTAGCACCGCTGATCATGCTTAACATAGTGAGCCACATGTCGGTCAAGGACTGCGGTGGAAACCTTCCATATCCGATGCAGAGCATGTGCGACATGGCTTTGAAAAGGGACCATGAGTATTGTTCCAACCAGTGTGCGTCCTAAAAAACAATGATAATAAAATATTAAGACCTTTCTGAAGGCTTTACCTTGTATTAAGAGTATGCAAAAGTCTTAGCAATAATTTAATTAACATAAAACATAAGTGGTCCATTAACCCTCGGACGACGGACCATGAAGAGAGCTCCAATTTTTATTCCATATTATGTTCATTTTCTAAATTTTACACTATGGAAAATTACTCTGAAAATTACTCTTTCAAAATTTGAAATTCTTTAATTTTGGATTAATACAGGGTGTTAAAAAATACCCTGAATACATCTACACCGCTGGATAGATCACGAAAAATCGAAGTGAAAAGTTCTGTAGCATTTTTCGATAGGATCAGTAGTTTAGCCACATTTCGTTGTTGAAAATTGAAAAATTGATCAATCAGCGCGCAGCTTGAATGGCAAGACCCGCCTCTCGGCGCATGCGTAAGCGCAACGCTCAGTGGCGCGACTCGTCGACGGCAGAGGATACTAGTCCCCTACTCCGCGGATCTTGCCACTCAAGCTGCGCGCTGATTGGTCAATTTTTCAATTTTCAACAACGAAATGTGGCTAAACTACTGATCCTATCGAAAAATGCTACAGAACTTTTCGCTTCGATTTTTCGTGATCTATCTAACAGTGTAGAGGTCTTCAGGGTATTTTTTAACACCCTGTATATGTTTTGTAAATTTGGGTCACAACTGATTTTGGCTCCGCTGTTCAAGGGTTAATTACCTAAAAATGGGAATATCCCTCCAAATGGAAATATCGCTTCAAAGTTAAATAGAATGAATTGGATAATTTTATGGGATTGTACCTACTTGTAATTCATTGATGGCGACCCAGGAGTTACTAGGAAATCCTTGGAGCATAGGGACCAGGAATTGCAGGCAACCACTCCAGTGACCGATTAGGAGCATCATGCAGATCAGGTTAAAAATCCGCATGAACACCGACGCCATATTCAGGAACTGCCAACAACAACGACAAAGGTTTATTCTCATGCCGGTCCCGGTTGCCGGTGTCTTGTTCACACTTCAGTTACAAAACTTCTCTGGTTATCCAAAGCTCCGGTTGCGTAGTGTACAGCAAGTAAGCGAGTGTTGCACAAAAACGCGTCAAAGTACATATTAATTCACTGAATACATTGTCAAAACTATCGTAGTAATTGTTATTCAACATTTGAACCAAGGGTCAAGTAAACTACCTGACGTTCAGACCCGAATCTTATTTATTTATAAAATATGAATATTTTAATTCAGGTTTTAAATTATCTTTTGCAAAAGGTAAGTAGAAGAAAATATAGCACCGCATAGATATTTATTTCCTTGGCTGGAGTTCTGGATGGCACAGGTGGCCAATTGATCTGAAACTCGATGAAATTGCCCGGATTGGTGTGAAAAGCGATTAGGGTGAATCTCGGCTTCGGTAGTCGGTACATGCTTGAGATATCGTTTGCTCCATTAGAGAGATAGAATTTGGACTTGGAAACTCTTCCAACATTTCCGTCTTCGTGGTCTTCCTTTCAACAAGCTTCTCTATAGTTATCGAGAATTCGTCCGGAAAGTCGGCGACGCACGGTACTTAGACTTAGTTCCCTCTATCTCGAGTAGAAGTTAGACTTTTGGGCTTCGGTATCGTTAGATGGAGAGAATTTGGAGTTGGAAACTTTATCCTAGATCTTCGGAATCTTCCTTGCACCAAGTTCCCCTATTGATACAAAGAATCCGTCCGGAAGGTCGGCGACGCACGGTACTTAAACACTGATCCCTCTGTATCGAGTGAAACTTAGGATTCACCTCTTCTATCTCGAATATTTCATATTTTCCATTGAAATATCTGCATGCTTGATTTGTTTTCAATTAGACTTCTGTTAATTTTGGTTAATTTTGGTTATCCTAACTCGCTATGAAAATTCTTCCCATAACACCCACCAAGTTTCATTTCAATCAACCACCTTTATTAAATTACTTAATTATATTTAACTCACGGTACCATTCATCATTAATCGCAATTAGTATATTCGTTAATTAGTCAGTCAATTAAATTGACGTTTGATATTTCGGGTCTGAACGCGAACGTAATCAGTGTCTTTTCTCTCCTAAAGTAGTCTCGGCTGTTCATACTTCCGGGTTTCGGTTTTCAGTTCAATAAAAGCATGCTACATTAGAAAATACGCATCACGTGGCACACAAAAGAACAAGTCAATGTAACCTAAAGAACGTTTATAATAATATATTACTCTACCAATGCTCTAACAGAAGAAACAAAAAAATAAAAAATAAAAAACAATGTATACAATATATATGTATATATGTATCAGTCATCTGCATTGATTAGGCCAAGATCCTCAGACCAGCTTATGGGCTCTACCTGTTCAGAACTAGTTTCTCATGTTTTCTTTATGTAATTGCAATTTGAATTGTAAACTGTTCGACTAAACAGTGCGCCATAAGCATGATATGGGAATCCAAGTCCTTGCTAAGAAAATAAGCTGGAGAACGCAGAAACCATTCTGAAGAGAGAGTCTCTAATTAATATTTTTCATAATTAATAGAACACGCAATGCTGTACAGAATTTTTTAAAAAGATAAAAATATTTCAATTTTCTATTTTTAATTTAAAATTTAATTAAAAAATTGCAGGCTAATAGTGATCGCAGTAGAATAAATATTATGCAATTTTTAATGAACGATTGGTTTTCAACAAATTCCCGGAACAAGTTGAAAAGTGTTTATCTGTCGATTCCAAACTAGGCGACGATCGAGTTAATTAGTCGTGTCGATTGATGATTAATCGACCGATTAAAGAGTGATTAACCAGGAAACGCAATAAAACACGCGAGAGCTATTTTTTCTCCATTTTAACGAGCGTTACGTCGAAATTTCGATGCGATAGTATCGTTTATCGAATTATTCGTGTAATTCGATCGCTTTGGATCCTCGTCGAGCGCGATTTGAATTACAGAAACGCGGATAAACTCGTACCCAATCGTATTACCCTTTTCCGTGCTGCGTATAAAAACGCGTTGGAAATTATTTACTATCTTTCAATACAATATTTTTTTATTTCGAAACAATTTTTAAACTACCAGATATTTGCAAAAATTGCAAAACAATAAAATCCTCCGTACAGTACTGCAAATTCTAGAAGTAAATATCTAAACGAATCTCTGCCATGTAATGTAATCATTGTTACGTATTATTCAATTTTCCCTTCGAATCTGATGAACCTGGAAAAAAAAATATCTTGAAAAACAATTAGCGTGGATTTTGGAATCTCATCGAGAGTGCTCTCTGCGCTCTCCAATCGATCCAAGGGCTAAACTCTAAGGATCGGTATCAGGGGTTCGATGATATGTGCGTATCGTGTGTATGTACAGCACACGTTAACGCGCGCGTTTCCGTTTTCCTGGTTGGAAACGCGCGCCAATAGGAAGCGGCCGATCACGGCAAACGATCTGTTGACCCCGTAATCCGTGACCAAATCTCGGCAACTTTTCCAATTTAACCAGCCGATATACTGAATCTAGCCAACAGCCTTCAACGTTATCGTTATCTTGTTCTTATTGTGTACTCTAATTTCCGGTCACAGAGCGAGGCCTTCCTATATTCGCTCGATGTTTCAGTATTTTCAGGATCGCATCGAGAGCGCGCCATCTGTTGCCGCTAACGACCAGCTAGCGAGAGTGCAATTGGTTGGGGTGGAGTTATGGTTATCGGGTTCGTATTTGGTCTCGGTAAAGTTCGGCTCGCGTCGGTAGAGTTCGGTTCGCGTCGGGAGAGTTCGTCTCGCGTCGGTGGGGATCGGCTCGCGTCGGAGGGGATCGGCTCGCGTCGGCAATTTAGCCACGCCCCCTACTCTCACTGCCAATCGGACCACTGGTGGGAGGATCCTTTCTTTACACCCTCCCTGTAACGAAAGGAGTCTACTATGCCTCGAATTGTACATCGTTAAATTAAAAATCGAATACATATCTCTTTTACTTCTAATCTCTACCTATAATAATAAAGTTGTTAAAATTGAGAATTATAAGCTCTGTAATAAAATCATTATTTTTTCAAGGATTTCAATTCCCAAACGAAGATTTATAATAAAAATACTAATTAACAATGAACCGTCTGCTTCACAGACAGCGTGTCGATGCGTCCAGAGGTTGCCAATAAATTTTCTCCTAAAAAATTTAAATAAATCTTCAATAAGAGCGACAAGGAAGGCCTCGGTTCATATCAGAGTTGACCCCGAAAATCGAACGGCGATGGAATCGTTCGATTCGATCATCGAATCGTTCATCGAACTGTATCGTCGTTCGATTTCGACAACAAAGCGCACGATACCCGGGTTATCTAACTAACGGCTGCGGAATGAAACGGGTCGCTCGTGTTCAACTATATCGTATCATTGATGATTCCATGATGACAGGTCAACAGTGTGTTGATTGTTATCTGCGCCTACTTGGACAAATTTACGGATAAAAGAAACAAGGGCGATGATTAAAACTTACTGCTAGACCACAACTAGTATCAATACATTACCTGGCGTTCAATAAACAATAAAACAACAACAACAACAACATCAACAACAATAACAACAACGTAAAAGAAAAACCAAAGAAGAAGAAGAAGAAGAAGTTGAAGTAGAAGGGAACAAAATACGATAAACCAAAAATTAAACAGGAACAAACTAACAAACATCGTCATGCGGTACACATACACGGACGCGCGCTACGCAAAGAGACAAGGGCACGACAACAACACCAAACACGATGACGACGACGATGATCACATCATTTTTCTATTTTTTTTTTCTCTCTTTTTCTTTTGATTTGTGTTGCACAACGTACGTTCACGCATGAGAGCGCGCGCATAGTGGATATGCATACGCATGATACATCGGGTCATTCAGAATAGGGTAAGGTGAAACTGGACGAGGGTGATGATTAAAAATGAATAAATCAAATGAAAGTAAATCTAGAGTGTTAAAATAAAGGAACGATGGCATTACATCGAACAAACTGAAGCATCCAACCGTCTGTTCTACCAGAGACAGTCACAAGGGTCCATTGTTTAACACGATTCTCGATGGTCAAACACAAACGAACGTCTAAATGATCCACTGGCTACCAAAATAACACGATTCGACGTTTTCTAAAATAACAAAAGAGAAGATAAATGAAACGTAACGTGGATGGTAAGAAACGCAAAGAGAAAAGAAGAAAATGCAAAATAAGTTTGTGATATTCGGTATCAGGGAATTATCTAGCGATGGGAGTGATCATTTTGATAGTTACGTGGAACAGAGTACATTTCGCTGATTTTATATTATTGGTGAATGATTATTATCAAATTAACCCTTTTGTTATGACATAGTTTGATAGAAGATAATGGTACGTATATCCAAAAATATTTTATTGGAATTAAAATTGTTAATTAATGAGAAATTTTCATGGGTGATTATAGTCATTTTTAGTATGCAATTAGTTCTTCACGTTGGATGACTACAGTTACCTTTAATAATGAAAGGGTTAAGTCTTAAGTTCAGTTAAATTATTATAAACCCTTTGGAACAATACAATATCGATCCCTACAATTATTGACACTTTTTCTAAAAAATTAGAATATATAATATAATGCGTTTCTTATATAGTAAACTATAATTCTTTTCGGAACAAAAAGTATTGAGGCTACGAGAAATAATTATATTTTACTATTTAACCCTTGAAGAGCAGAGTCTGGGTCAATCGTGACCCAAACAAGGATACTAATCTAAAGTTAATTAGATCATTTTTAAATAAAAAAATTTCACATCTTGGAACAAAGTAAAACGTAGAAAATAAAGTTAGGGCTTTCTCCATGGTCCGCCCTCCCAAAGTTAAAAAACCCATTATATTATATTTCCTACTTTTTCAGGAAAAGGATGAACAATTGTATATGTTGCCCTACTATTTTGAAAATTAAAGCTAGGATTGCTAAAATCAACGAAGTGTACTCTATTTTGGATAATTATAATAAACTGAAAAAGGAGAAACTCAGGTACAGAGACAAAAAAGACAGGGACATAGTGATAGAAAGAGAGAGATAGAGAGAGAGAGAAAACGTAAAAGAAACGCCAGCTGCCAAGTCAAATGATCATCAAGCGGCAAAAAAGCCAGGCTTCTAAGCAACGAAAGCAAGCCACCTCTTCCTCTCGCTATCGTATCTTCTTCTTTTTTTTTACTCGTTCTTTTATAATCTTTTCTGTTTTCCTGCGCCTGCTTGCAGCCACGCACACACAACAGATAGCCAGCCAGTAATCACAAAAGGGTGCATTTTCTTGGCCGAGAAGCAACAGAAGGCGAGACAAGACGGGACAAGAGGTAGGCGAGACAAGGGTGAATATCGTATAGCGAGCTCTCTACTCTCATACAATGCGTCCTAATTGTTATTCCGTTTCCTTTCTGGTTCGTTTCATTTCCGTTTCTCGTTACTCGTCTAGTTGGAAAAGAACAGCGATGCGCCTCGTACAAGGATGACAAAGGGGTGAGAGGGTTTTAGGGAGAGAGTCCTTCGAGAAGGGGTAGGTTATCATGATGATAGCTAACGATGGGCATCAAATCGCTTGGAATCCCAATTTTTTCATTTTCATACTCTGGAATCGTTGAAGATCTGCGAAAGCTCAATAAGGTTTTCCTAGCAAGCATTTATTTTTTAATTAAGCAGGTTGCAAAATTACAATATTTGCCTCTATATTTCTAAGCAAGCAACAGCTTCTCGAAGTAGTCAATAAAATCATTAAAAAAATGATTTGATTTCGTGGCGTTAAAATATATGGCCACAGGGGTAGCTGGTACTCTAAGGGTTGATTCAATTTAACGAATATTGCAACAAATTAACAGCACACCATTTTTCATTCATTTTCCATTATTACATTATTGATTTTATTAAAAAAATCGTTGAATAACTTCGGTGTCTATCGATGACTGTGGAAACACGAACCAAAGACAAAGAAGGCATGGAGGTTTTGTCCAAGGACCACATCGATTTTCCCTAAAATTCCCTATGGATCTCACAAATCTTCAACGTCCAAAATTCGAGCCATAAAACGACGAAATTGTAAGATAGAAAGACACAATTGATGTCAGCCCATCGTTAACAGTGGCACAATGTGCGATTTGCAACAAAGCGACAGAGAAGGGACGCCCAATCAACGTGCGCTCGTTTCCAAAGGATCGTGCACACCGTCTAGCGATCAAAAAAGCGTATCAAGAGAGACAGTGCTTGAAGAAATAAGTGGGCTGATTACAGAGTGTGGCCGGCTGTTCAGTTCCGGCTCGTCGGATCAACCATCTTCTATGGGACACGCTAGAACAGGGATGGCTAACTTATCCCTTCGAAGAAGTCTAAATCCATATAGTTCATACCTTCTACACTGTAGAGATGGGAATTAAGCTAATAGAGGAATTGGGGGACTGATTGGTTATTTTGGAAGTTTCGAAGTTGGGATCAGTCGTTTGTTCATCTCTGCATAGGTTGAATGCGTTTAGGCTTCTTTTAGTTAAAAAGAAATGTAGGGGAAGAGGAGTTCTACCACTCGCCTTATTTATAATTATTTTTAACTAAGAGAAGTCTATATTGCATCTGAGTGTACACTCACGATCAACTCAGGCTTCTCTAGGGAAAAAGAAGTTCTTAAAATCTTAATTTCAATGATATTAATATTAAAAATAATTTAGAAAGAATATAATATAATTTTGAATGCTTAAATATTATAAAATTTAATGCATTATTGAGAAATATGAATATCAATTTAAATTTTCCCGCGTAAATATTCGTACGCAGGTGGTGTAGGGCAGAGGCCCCCTTTCCTCGAGAATGTCTAAAGAGAAGAGCAAGATACCACGTTTTTTCCTAGGGAAGTTTGATTTGATCGAGTGTACCGTGCTGGGCACTAGGTTCCCCTAGGGAAGAAGGCGATACAGGGGATAAGACTCCATCACTCGAGTGCATTATCCATTTGACTAGTTACTAAATGAACTAACACCCTTTGAAACAAATACTTATTTCAAATATCGAAGACATAACGCATAACAACTCTCAGATATCCAAACGAGTATATTTCCCTAGGGAATTCTAGAGAATACTTTGCATTCAAAAATGCATTCATAACCTCGTCAAAACACAAGGAAATAATAAAAAAAATAAAAACATAAAAAGATTAAGTCATCAGTTAGCCATCCCTGCGCTGGAGGATCACTAGGGATAACCAAGAGAGTCCTAGGGATTTCGAGCTAGGGATCCCCATCGAACTTGGAAAGAAAAACAGTATCGTAACGCGGAAAGGGTACAGACAGGTGGAAATTGGGAATGGAAAAACCGAAAATACATGGCAATTCAGGCATAGTAACAGAGAAAAAGACAGATTAGAGAAAGAAAGAGAGAGAGAGAGAGAGAGACAGAAAAAGATTAAGAGAAAAAAGAGATAGAAAGAGACAGAGAGGAGGGATCCACGATTAAGACGATATTCTACATGAAGACGTCTGCTATAATCGCGAAACTTTATCATTTATTTTTAACGCACGTGGACGAATACCTCGCTAAACTCGACTATGAAATTCAGTGATAATCAGCTCCGATTTTTATCCGAGAACGAGCGTCGTATTTTATTTTTCTCTTAGTTATTTTTCTGTCACGATTTTGAAACTTTGATCGGTGAAATTTCTCTAATGATTAATACACGCAACACATATAAATGTAATGTATATATATATATATGAGTACATATATATATAAAATACAATTTGGTAGTTTCTCATCGCTAGGCGGGTGCCGATGGTGAATGTATAAGAAGCATAGCCTATTGCTGCGGGTAATATGTAATGTATAATGCGGCGGAAAGTAGAAGCGAATGTTTGTAATAAACCAACGAGCCAATCAGCGTACAGCTTCTGCGTCCGGCCTCCTCGTGATCGTCCTTCCTGTTTTCTGAGACGTTGATCGAATGATCCTCGCTGAATCCTACTTAGAATATCATTTCTATTTTATCGTTATATCTGGCATCTTGTTCATCTCAACTGTCTTCAATAACAAAAATTTCAATTTTTCTTCTTCCACTTTGGGTGTGTTTTCATTTACTTTTCGCAAACCGATCATTTTCCTATCATTTTATGTACGGTCACGATTTTGTTCCATTTTTTCTCTTTTTTTTTTTTAAATTTTTCTTTTCAAGCTGCAATGATTTTGCAGATTCGTTTAGAACAGAGGACGGCATCGGTCGAGTCTCATGAAAACGGGACGAAACGCGGTCTCGAGGCGGGTTCGACGTGATCGGCGCGAAACGATCGCGAACCCCTCGAGCGGACGCGAGCTCGCGCAATTCTTTAGGGCGGGTTACCTTAAAAATAAGGTCGCTTTTGCTGAAACCGTACTTCTTTTTACTCATATTGTCAGAACATAGGCGCCCCCTCCGCTCAGCGCGTATTTTTTGTAGGTTCTGCAATATCTAGAAACAAAAGAAAGCGGGACATAGCAAGACGTAGTAAGAAGAGGGTCAAAGGTTATCAAGAAAATTCGTGTAAAGAACAGACAGAAAAAATAGAATAAGAGAGACAGACAGACGAGAGGAAGATGAGGATAGAATAAATAAATAAATATAACGGAAATCCAAGGCAGACACAGAGAGAAAGGAAGTAAAGAAACGTCGTCGCAGAATGTGGTGGTTGTGGTATCGGTGGAAAATGAACAGAAGAAAAAGAATAAAAAAATAAAAATAATACATACATATTTGTCGAAATATATTTTTATCACGCGTTGTCGTCACAGTGTTTTACTTTTCAGAGAAACAGAAACAGAGAGGCAGAGAGACTGCGTGTGACAGATAAGGAACAAGAAAAAGAGAAGGAGCAGATCGGCGACAGGAAAATTCAACTTCTTTGTTCTCTCTTTTTTTTTTCAACCCTTTTCTTTTTCGTTTCGTTCTCTCGCCGGGTAGACACAAAGAACTTCCATGTGCGTGACAAAAACGCTTTCATTTTTCTTTTCGGGGGACGCACACGTGCGACGCTGTTCCTAAAACACAATCGGGATACACCCTTCCTTCGCCTTGCAACTTTGAGCAACAAAGTGTCTTGTTTCTTTTTTTTTTTTTTTTTTTTTCATGGCTATACACCATAATGGTCGTGTACGCTATATCCGGTTACCAAGATGGAATCAACATTGGATGACCTTATTCTTGATCACCCGTTCCTCTTCTCGTGTAACCACACAATATCATCGATCATAAGGAGAAGAAAATAAAAAAATAAAAAATGAAACAGAAAAATAATGTTGTACTTGGGAGAATTGGTGTTTCGTGTTCCGTTCCGTTCGTTCGTGTGTATTTATTATTATTATTTTCTTTTTTTTTTAATTTCATTTTCAAGGGTGCATTATAATACGATGATCGGTGGACGTAATTGTGAATTAAGATACGTGTTGCAGAGATTGATTTCAAAGAATGATCGTGATGGTTGTAATAATAAGGAGAAGAATAAATTTGATGGGTTTCGTGAAGTAAAGAAGAGTCAAGAAAAGCCATTCGTTAGTATCAAAAAGCTTTCGGTTGCAGCAGTCCGCGCCAAGCGTGAAGCCGCAGTTTCTTGTCAAAGCTCGTTAATTAAAGGCTCGAGAGATCGGTTTAGCCAATCAATAGCGACGGTGAGCGAAAGTCGGAGAGATTAGGTATCGAAATGACAAAATTTTATGCAAACTTTTAGCAATTTTCAAATTTGAAAATTAAATGATCGTGAGAAATTTTGAAGAAAGTGGGACAGAAATTTACCACAAATCACCGGTAACGTGATTACAAACTCCCTGTTATTAATCGTTCCAGGCACGAAGAATGGGAACTGTTCGTGAGGATGTTTAAAATTAGAGAAACAGCGGTTGTATTTTAGAAGAATCCCCAGTAATTTATCATTTCTCGCGACATATATGATTGATCGTTCTCTAAGATCCATGTCACTGGGGTTCCTCGAGGTTGCGGCTCGAGTAGACGTCGCAAAAACGACCCGTCATCGTTCGACCATGAAGAAAAGCGAAGAGATCATTGAAGAGTCGATCTCGATGGAGAGGACTGGCAGAAATTTCAGTGACAACCTTTCAAATATTACTTTCCAATAAGAATAGCAATTTATTATTAACACGTTAAATGGTAGCACTGGTTTCATTTCTGAATTGAAAATTTCCATCTATCATATTGCAAAATTAATATAATATTAAATACAAAAATTGTGAATTTCTCCTCCTGTATTCAAGGTGTTAATTATATTCCTAAAAATAATTTCCCTTCAATGCAAATTACAAGAATTTCAATAAAAACCTTCAACCTTGAAATCTGTACAAATTCCTCAGACTGTAAAGATGCTACTGAATAATTCCATCCGACTACAACATTCCCAAGAACGAATAAAAATCTCTGAAAAAATTAAAACGAGCATTAAAGTTGCAGAGAACAAACGAGCCTCCTAAAGATATCTATAATCCACCTATCGGAGAGGCTACTTCAAATCTCTGTCTACGGAGTCGTCTTCCGTCCGAGTAACAAAGGGGGAACGTGGTGAACGGAACACGGTGGCAACGTAACAAAATCAGGGTCAACGGAAACATAGAACGAGGGTGAACAAGGGTTGGTACATCTGTAGGAGAGGGGAGAGAAAAAACAGGCGTTTCGTCTCGGGATCGTCTGTCAGACTCGTCCAGTGGGGCTGACAACAGACGATCCCTGGCCCCAGACACCTACAGGGTGATCATCTCGCTAATGGACTCAAAGGAAATGCCGCCACAATAGCATGAAGTGGCCCAAGTCCTTTTTCTGTCATCGATACCTTCTCACGGACACAGCTACAGTATGCACCCCCGTCGAGAAAAGGGTTTGGGTCCATTCATAATGGTGTGGCGGCATTTCCCTTGAATCCACTAGCGAGAGGATCACCCTGTACCATAGCGCAATTTGGAACTCATGCCGGGCGACCGCTAGCGAGAACGCCCTCATCTCGCCGCCACCTAGCGGTCCCCGGCCCGAACCAAAGGCGTCCGGGTAGACGAAACCCTCTCTCCCCCTCCACTAAACGCCTACACATCTTTGCTCGTACCTTGAACCAGGCATATATCTAAACAACACAGAACAGCAAGCAAGTAACGCAACTCTGGACTATATTGGATTAACGTCTGTCCGTTTAACCGGGGTTTCGTTAGGAGCTGGTTAAAATACAAAAGAAAAAATGTAACACAAGGGAGCACACACCGAACACGGGCACATCGCCAACAAAAATGTACTTCGGGCAAAATAGGGTTAATATATACACCTAACACTCACAGGCAGACCTACGCAGTCAGTCCAACCAACTTTCTCGTCTGCAGAGCAACCAGTCATGTCGAATACCTCCATTCTGTTCAATTTTCTTTTTTTTAAAATACAATTTTTATTTTACTTTTTTTTATTTTAAGAGGATACTTGGTTCCTGATCAAACATCGCTATTACTGTGGTCATCGATATTGTAAGAGATCGTGAATTTTTCACATCCTTCTGATGCTCTTTTTTCTTTTGATTTTGGGACGAAACAACGTTTAATGGTTGGTTATTGATCCACGTGGTCGATATACATGCGCACCTGTGTCCAAGCAGGTGAGCTTCGCAGGGACATCAAGGTGAGCTTTGAAACGATGAACACCGTGGATTGTATTCGACACGACCCAATGGCTACACGCTAAACTCGCGTTAATACCTAAACGAATGAAGCCTCGCCAAGAGGGGCGAGAAAACACATGACAGCATATCATACCAAGTCGATCCCAAGGACCTTCACATGGATCTAGATAAGATTAACGTGTGACATGGGTACGTTTCATTTTGTTTTTCTTCTTTGAGTAACTTTTGTCGGTTTGTGATCCATGTGACATTTCGGACAGACAGAATGGTTAGATGGATCAAGAGCTTTTGTTCTGTTGGTCAATATTTTTTTTTAATTTATTATACTTTCGATAACACGTTTTTTAAAACATCGTTACGAATATCTATGCTATGAATATCAAATGCATGTCACGTAACTTACACGATGCAGACACACATATCTTCTATGTCATTCGTCCAATCACAACTCTATACCATGTCGTGCAACAACGTCGATCTCTAACAGGTTCGATACCATGGGATTTAATAATTGGAAGTTTAAGAACATTGGTAGCGAACGTGTTGAGAGAGAAAAAATAAAAAAAGGGTTCAACGAAACCGAGTGTACGGTCGCGTGCAATTTAGGCTTCTTTTGTTTAATTAACACTTTGATGGCCATTGGCAAGGATTTGGGATTTTCAAGTCGAATCTCTCAATTTTCTATCTTAATACGTGGAATGACACAGTGAAAATGGGCACTTGAAGCTTTAATTATTAATTAATTAATTTTCAAATTTCAAGCTTCGATTTGCTATTTTACAACAGGATAACGTATACACTTATTGAACCTTTTTCTAAAAAAGTACAAAATATAATATAATGCGTTTCTTACATAATTTAATTTGGAATAAAAGTATTGGAGCTACGAAAAATAATTATATTTTATTATTTAACAACGAAGCCTGAGTGAATTGAGACCCAAACTGATAAAAAAATTAAATGTATAACTTTTAAATAAAAGAATTTTATGGAGTAGAAAAATTAGAATTGGGGTTTCTCCATGGTCCGCTGTCCGAGGGTTAAGAAATAAGTTACATTATATATTTTTTATTCTTTTAACAAAAGGGTGAATAACTGTATACGTTACCATAGCAATATTATTTAAAATAATGCTTTTCTATTGTTTTCTTTCAATTATTTAGGCATTTGTAATTTGCCTGTCATTCAACGTGTTAATAGCAATGTTGTTCAATTCTATCCTTCATTTCATTATTCCATTACATCTATTCTGAAAATTAAACTAAAATCAATTTATTGATTTATTAATAACTAATTAAACTCTGAAAATAAATCTTAAAATATAACTCGGCAAGCTATATAAAATTAGAAAAACTAAAATGTTAAGAAAAATTATAAATGAAGGAATATCCCATCAGTTGAAGAAAGGAGGTTCTCTCTACTCGGTCCCAAGGTTCCCTCAAAACCAAAGACAAGTGATGGAAGACTTCTTTCTCTACACTTATTTCTAACCAAAAGAAGCTTACATTGCACCCGAGTGTACACAAAGATCAATCAAAGCTCTTGATCCTGACCTGGCTCTTTGGAAGTAGAAAAAAAAAACCACTGTATCATGGGTGTTGGTATGATGTGTCAAACGTGTCCCGTTTTCTTTTTTCTTACTGACGACTCAACAGAACAAAAAGGGTACACGGCAAGACTATGCACGTTCTCTAGAAGAAACTTCCAAACCAAACGACAACGATAATCAATCGATCATAATAAACAGGTATATGTAACGATAATCAATAACCGTAACAGAAAACATTATATATATATATATAGTATGTGTAAT